CCCAGCAGAGATGGATCCACCGGTGGACTGACTCGTCAGGCAGGGAGGACCCAACAATAATACTGCCACCCGCCTAGCCTTGGCACATCTTTGACGCAACCTTATTCTTTCCATCCAAGGATGGAAGAGAGGGAGGAGCAGAGAAGAAGGAGTCAGTACTGGTCCCTGGGGAGCCAGACAGGGCCCTGGCAGGTGAGGCTTCGTGGGCTGCCTGCAGTTCCCACCTCCCAGCAGCATGGTTTCTGGAGTAGTCACGGGCTCTGCCCCACCACCTCATGGCTTCGCCAGGGACGTGAGGACCCATCTGAGGCAGCCATGGTCCGGGGGTGGCAAAGGAACTTGCTCAGCTCTGAATAACAAGAGGCAGGTGGCCTCTGACCAGGAGCCAGGACAGGCAGGAAGGGCTTCTCCTCTCGGCCACCTCCCAGGCTTGCCTGGAGGTCCAGTGGGAAGCATGAGAGCAGAGGCTCAGCATCCTACACGCTCCTGTCTTGCCTCTGTTTACAGTAGTTACCAGCTGCCCACTGAGGATGGGGATGAGAAGTCAGATGTCCAAGTGCTGAATGAGTTAGAAGCCTGCTCTTACTGGGGCAAACTAGCCTGGCTGTCTGTGTGCAGGGAAGGAGGAGATAAGGAGATCCAAGAGAATGGCCCCCCAAAATGACAGGTGGTCACTTAAGGGCAAGCACGGTTTCTCTAGTTAAGGTGCCCAAAGCACTTCAGTTAAGGTGTGTGAGGGTGGCCAGCCCCAGGGCAGGGCCAAGGGGGGAACTGTGTGTACAGAACAGAAAAAATAAAAATTATCACCACGAGACTGGCAATTCTAAACAATACCTGAGATAAAATGCTTCTCCGGCAGGGACGGACAGCGCCCCTCACGCTATGCTGGGATGCCATCAGAACAAAGGGACTGTCTGAGCTTCCCTTGAGACCCTGGCATCCCCCAAATTGGGACTTCAAAAACTTTAGTTGCAGGATGTTTTTCTCCCCCTGCCGCCAAGACTCACCAAAAACCCTAATACAAAACAGAACCACAGGTACAATGTGGTGGAGAGCAAACTCTGGATTCAAATCCCAACCTACCCACTCACTAGCCGCATGAAGGTTATCTGACCTCTGTGTCTGCTCCTCATTTATGATGATAATGATGTAAGTAACTCATAGGGCAGCGGTAAGAGTTGAAGGAGTTCAAATGGCAAAGTGCTTAGAGCAATGCCTGGCACAAATACTATATATGGACCTACTATTATTAGGACAGCCTCTCCCACAGGTTATCTGAGCAGATGGGACACAACCGCAACACCACCCAGGAAGGAGAGGAGCCTGACTTACCGGAATCTGCCCGAACCCACCTGCCTGGGCCCCGTGTCCAAGTAAAAGCCAGAAGCACAGACGTGCCCCTTCCTTTAAACCAGTAAAAGCCTGAAGACAGTACGAAGAAGTCCCAGATTCTGTCAAACCTTTATGATGACAGAGAAAAAAAAAGGGAAAGGGGTGCCCAGGTCGCACGCTGGGCCCCAGAATTCCTTCATACTCATCTGAGAGTGCTAACCCAGCCTGTCCTACCAGGCACCAGGGACGTGGCTGGTTCCTAGGGGACACATGCTGGGCCCAGGGGAACCAGGCCTCGACCCAGCTGTAGTGAACACAAGGAACAAGCAAAGATGGGGGTGGGAGACCAGCAAGGAACCAAGACTCTCAAGTCAAACTGTCACCCCTTTAGTTGCCATTAATCCCTGTCTATGGTTTACCATCAAGCTGACATAAAACTTTAACTCATGGAAACTCAACCCCCATCCCAAGATTCCAAATGCTTCCCTCCCCTTAGGGGACCCCAATGAGTAATTACTATAACTTAGTATTACCTTCCACTATGCAAGTCAAGTCTCCATTTTCAAAACAGAAATGTCTTCAAACCACACGCACTCCTCCGCAGAAACACTGTACTACCTAGCCATTCCTCAAGAATCACTACAACAGGACGTGCTCGGGTCTGAGGCTGGGCAGCATCGGAGGCCAGCCTGCCCTGAGCAGGGTTCAGGTGCTGCATTACTTCACTTTCTAGAGCCCAGGCACCAGACGTGACCCGCCTGGGGAAGGGTATAGCCTCTATTTTGGCACCAACACTTAGCTCTTCCCCTGCAGACCCTCCCCTTAAGTCCTCATAGCCCCCCTTAGCTTTCAAAGGGCATCAGCACTTCTAACACACCTTCCCAAGTGGCTGAAAAATGCCAATTTCCCCCTAAGATTGCATGGCCCTAATATACTCCCCAATAACGCTACAACATAGCAAACTTCTGGTAGTTTCGCAAACAAGCCATGTGATTCCACAATCAACCCTCACTTTTATACCTGCTATTCTCTCTTCTTGAAATGCCTTTTCCACCCCCACAGGCCTAGCAACCTCCTATTCAGGCACATCTCAGGGAGGGCTGACCTCTAATTTCTCAGCAGCACCCCTGTATCACTTGCTGATACCCCTGTATTTTATCTACCATGTATTTAACATTCCATCGCTTCCTAGCAAATCCTTCTCACCTCCCAGTCTGTGATCTTTACCTATATTCCTGACCCTGGCCTGGAAAAAGAACCTAATGATTCTGACGTGAACGAAGCCCCCTTGAGTAGGCAAGCAGGGAGAGTCCAGGCTATACAAACAAAGCAGTTGTCAAGAGTCAAGGCTATAAAAAGACAAGCAGCCCCACTGAAACCCCATCCTGGAACCATAAAAAAAAATACACCCCTTTCTCCAGTGATCTAACACCTTTTGGAATTGAGATCTTATGGTGGACAAGTAGGATTCCTTGGGTTTTCTAGGGTTGCTTTGGTTAATATCCGAGAGTCAACTGGGAAGAGCCAGCCTAGGTCAGGTGTGAGAATAAACCACCACTGCTAATGCAGATTCTCCAGAGGGTGGCTCTAAGGGTTGCAGAGCTAACAGCTTAAGGGCATCTAAGCTAAAGGGAAGGAAGGACTCCAGTTCCAGCTCAGATCACCAATCCAAGATGGAACCTCAGCAAGAGAGCTCTTGGACCACTGTTCAGACAGCTAAGCAGGGGAGGGAGCCAACACTGTGCTTACCAGACCAGAGCAGACACGCAGCTCCAGGAGAACGCCAGAGCCCTTAGTTTTCGACCCGAGCGCAGGGCCCCGCCAACACCAGCTGCACCGACTCCCTGAACCACTACCATGTGGTGGTCACCTCCACCCCCAAGGAGTAGCAAGGACTCCACTTCTTGAGGATTCTGCCCTCTCTCTCAGAAAAGGCCCTTAGAAAAAGTGACCAATACCTGAAATGTTTTCTCCAAGGCTAGCCTGGCCACATGGTTCACCCTTCCCACTTCAAAGTGGTGGGTCTGAGGGTAAGGCCAGCCTCCTGGGCAGTGTGAGGTCCCTGCTACAGTGAACCCTCTAGCTGAAGTGGTATCTGGGGCATTGTCCGGCTTCACAGGAGACAGCCCGTCTCCCTCGATGTCAGCTCAAAGGAGGCTAAGCAGAGAACCCACACACATCAGCAACCCTGTCACCCTCCCCAACTCTCAGGGGCAGATTCTGAACCACCAGGTAAGAATGAGGAGAGAGTGAAAGTCCCCAAAGCCACGGACCCGTGGGCATCAAGGAGGACAAGACCTTCAGGAGCTAAAACACGGCCACCACACTAGAGCCCACACTACACTAGCGGACAGACATCAGGCCCTCCCTTGTCACCCTTCAGGGTGAAGAGTTGGTGTTCCTTCCTTTCTTCCCCTAACCCCCCAAAAGCAGAATCTAGACCTAGATTCTCAGATGTCATGCTATTGGTGGACAGGGGCTGGCAGCAGGCCTCTGAATTGCTAAGAGTGGGAGCTGGCAGTGTGACCCTCCCACCATCCCTCCCACTGTGAGGAGCCCAGCCCAGCCCAGCAGTGGGGCCGCGGCCGCCATGCTGCACCAAACCCATAGCATGGCCAGCAGCGCCACTGGAGTGGGGCGGGGGGTGGCACCACCGGCCCCCACCAAGGGGCTCTGTGGTTTCTCCCCCAAACCCAGGGGAAAGGAACTCATGGTGGATAACTGGCCCTTGGTTTCCTGGGCAAGAGCACGCCAGGGCGGGGCAGGAAGGGTCTCTCAGCCCTGGCGTGACACAGCAGAGGACGGAGGCCCTTCGAGGGAGCTGCAAACCACATACCCTTTCTACACCAGTTTTTGTCTCTGCCCGCCCAGGTTCTGGTCTCCATTCACTGGTAGCTGCATCCACCACTTCACCCCCCACACGTCCTCCTCGCTTTCGCCATCCCATGAACCACCCAGCTGCTGGAGATTCCACGAAGCCGCCTCACACTCCCACGTCTTAGCACAGGGTCGGTGGACAAGATAATGTCGCCTCTACTTGAGGAATCCCACCCGGGCCAGGTCTGGGGTCCTAGCTTGACTGTCAGGGCAAAACCGAAGGAGGGAGAACCGGGAAGTGTCTTTGGACATCTCCTTCCCAACTCAATTAATTGCCAGCTGACCTCTGCCAAAGCCCAGGTTTTGGGCATGTGAGGGAAGCCCGTCCAACCGCCACAACTACAGCTAGAGTGAATCAAGGTGCCGGGCGGCTGGCCCGGGCCTCCAAGGTCACGGGGAGGGGTCAGGGTGGAGAGGGCACAGGACTGGGCCGCCCGCCCACCCGCCGTGCTAATCCCTCAGTTCCTCGCAGCCGAGGCGGGAGTCCCGGCCACGCGGGAGAAGCGCCTGCGAAGGGGGCAGCGAGCCGGGCCGAGTGGGGAACGAGGGACGCGCGGGCAGCAGGCGTGGGGCGGCCCGCCCCAAGCCCGGGAGGGCGGGGAGACAATGCCCGCCCGGCGGGGCAGTCCAGGCCGTCCGCCCCCGCCCGCCGGACACCGGCTGCTCCTCCCGGGCCGAAGGGCAGCGGCGGAAAAGCTCCGGGAGCGATAGCCAGACCGGCCCCGCGCGCCCTCTCCCCCGCCCACCTCCGCGTGCACTTCACCCGACAAGTCCCGGGGCCGCAGACCCACCTCCTCCTCCAGGGTGCCGCCGGAGCCCGAGCCCGTGCCGGTGCTGGTGCTGTGCTCGTCGTCCGGCTTCAGGTTGCTCATGGTGCGGGGGGTGGGGCGGGGGTGGCGAGAGGAAGGGAATGCGGAGGGCGAGCGCGGCGCCGGGCCCCGGCGAGGAGGTGGGAGGGGGCGCGGTGAGCGGTGCGCTCCGGGGGTGCGGGGCGGGGTGGCGGTGGGGGGCGCGCGGGGCGGTGAGAGGGGTGGCCGCCGCGTCGGTCTGGGGTCACATCAAGTTTGGCGGGTGCGGGAGGAGGGGAGGGGGTGCGGCGGGGGTGGCACTGGGAACCGGAGCCGAGCCGGAGCGGCCGCCGCCTCCGCCTTTTCACTGCGACCGCCGAGTGCGCCCGCGGCGGCGGCGGCGGCGGCGGCGGGGGGCGGGCGCCGGGGGAGGGGGCGGGCGCCGGGCGGTGGCGGGGGGCGGGGGCCGGAACCGGCCTCAGCTGGGGCCGGGCCAGCCCCCCGCCCTCCTCGCGGTCTCCGGGGGAACGCGCAGCCAATCCCCGCCGCCCACTGCGGACTCGCCCCGGCCCGGGCCGCGGCGCGCTCGCCCCCGGCGGGGCTTTTCCCCGCTCTCGCTCGTCTCTCTCCCACTCTCATCTTTCCCCTTTTCCTTTCTCCGCGACAAGTTTTTAAACTTTGATGAACTCGCCCAGCGAACTTTCTTAAAGGGGCCGCGCGCAACGCGCTGTCCCAGCCCGCGGGATGTGGAGCTGGGTGCCGAGTACCCGGCGCCCCTTCGTTCCTCGGCATCCGCGCCCCGGCGGCCCTACGCGGGGAGCTCCCACAGCGGGGCTCCCGGGAGGTCGGCCTCAGGGAGCAGTAGGGTCCGCTTGTACCCTGATCTGGGGTTATAGAGTCCAGCGCTCTCATTCCACTCCCAACTTCAGCCTTGCAGACCTGGTCCACGTTCTCCTCCCTCCCGAGAGCACAGGGCTTTTGGGGGCCGGGTTCTGGAGAAGATGGCGGGGGCGGGGGGTGGGTGCGGACACCTGGGCTTCTGCCCTGGCTGGGCGCTGTTTTGCTGCGTGACCTTGAGGAAATCACTTCCCCTCTCTGGCCTCAGGCTTCCAGCCCAGAGGGCGGGACTTAGATCTCAAGCTCCCCTCCCGCTCCCAGTCCCCGAGTAGGACGCAGGGCGGGGAGACGAGTCTTTGGGACCCAAATGGATATTAGCCCCAGGAGGGGGTACCCCGAATAACCGAGAAGCTTCCATTCCCCGTCCCCTTCCCTTCCTGCCCCCTCCCGGCTTTTGGGTCCTCTCTTCGCTCGGTTTAAATGCCTCCCACACAAACACACCTTCCCCCCCACTCCTCCTCAGAGCCCGGTGGCAGGGGGAGGGGAGCGCAGCCTCGCGGTTTGGGCGGGGACGGTAGGGGCGCGGACCCCGGGTTTTCCTCTGACTTGAAAACTCGCTCGATCCGCGGCCAGCTTCTGCCGCCACCTCGTAAAAACCCGCGCCCACCTCGGGTCGCGCTGGAAGCGCAGCAGCCGCGAGCTCGACGGCGCTGCCCCAGGACGGGACTCCTCCCCGGCGCCTCTGGCTCAGAACTCGACCGGCGACCCGGGGAATACTGGCCAGAGGCTCCGCGGGGACTTGAGAAGACCGGCGGGACCCTGGCCGGGATCAGGCGTTGCCAGGTGTGATTGGCCGCCCTGCACCTAGTTTGTGTTCGCTTTCCCGGCCAATCCAGGTCGTCGCACCTGGGTTTTTAGGCTGGAAGCGACGCGCAGTGGCAGTGGAGTGGGAGAAGTTGGATTCGCAGTCACAAACCAGTTAGGATCCCAGACCTTGAACGAGTGACTCAGCCTTTCGGAGCCTCAATGTGCCGACCTCCTAAATAAGGCTAGCACTACCACGAACACTATCACACAGGAATATCGAGTGCGAAGTATACAGTGTTCCCTAGCCCCCGCAACAAAATTATAATCTTCTTAGCCTGCCATTTCAGATAAAGAGACTGAGGCCTAGAAATAGGCACTATCTTTCCCAATGACATATGCTTTCAGTAGGTAATCTTTGAGCACCTACTGTGTGCTGGTGGCTAGGCCAGAAGCACGCTGGTTTCCCACCACCCCAATCCCCCCTCCCCCAATTGCCAGCCCTTGGTTCAGGCTCTAGTATGAGGAAACGGCTGTTCCATGAAAGGTGCTTCATTGTACCCGAAGTTTTTAGGTACTTGGCACCTCCAGATGGAGCCAGCCGTGTGAACCTGTGGATGTCCTCACCATCCTCCGTAGGCCTCAGTTCATTGGCGTTCTCTCCCCATCCCTTCCCTAGGTCCTCCCACCAGGCAACCTCACCAACTTCGGCCCAGCAATATTATTCCTCCTTCCCCCACTCCCCCATTCCTGCTTCAGTTCAACTCCATTTTTTTTTTCCCAGGAGGAGGAGCCTGGTCAGTTTTCCAAACTCAGGTACCCTCTAGAAGTTAGTTGGAATTTTTCAGAGAAAGGGGGTCTCATCTTGCCCTTCAGGTCTCCATTTTATAGAGGAGGCAGCTGAGATCCAAAGAGGTGACACATGACACAGGGTCTACAACTGACCCCCATCACTGTATTTTTCCATGACATGAAGCTGATGGTTATTTTAAAATAATATTTATTACTTTTCTGATGATAATAGCAGTACATGCATACTGTTGAATAGTTGTAAGCTATAAAATAGTTTAGAAAACAATCGGCCATCTAGAGAGCAATATTATTAATATTTCCTTCTAGTCTTTTTGTCTGCATATTTTAGAAAACAATTACAATCTATGCTGACCATAGTTTCAATACCTCCTTTTTTCTTAAATTTATCATGAACGTTTACTTCTAAATTATTCAGTCATGTTTTTTAATGATTGCTTAACCCCCATGAGGTGTGCCATAATTTATTTTTTGTTGTTAGACACTTGCATTATTTCCAGGCTTCCTATATGTGTGACTAGCCCTTAAGCACATTGGAGACAGCAACTGTCTTATTACTCCTTGTAGCCTCCACAGCCCATGAAATGGAAGACTCTCCAACTTCATAGGGATTTGGAGATTATATGAATGCAAAACTCCCACCCGCCCTGGCTGGTGTGGCTCAGTGGATTGAGCGCTGTCCTGCGAACCAAAGGATGACCGGTTAGATTCCCAGTCAGGGCACATGCCTGGGCTGTGGGCCAGGTCCCAGTAGGGGGCACGTGCGGGGCAACCATACATTGATGTTTCTCTCCCTCTCTTCCTCCCTCCCTTCCACTCTGTCTAAAAATAAATAAATAAAATAAAAACTCTCACCAAACCTGGCGCGACTACCCAGTAACATTACCAACTTGGTGGTTGATGCAAATGGGGCTGGAGACAAGAGTTCAGGGCATACAACTCTGGCAGACTGTCTGGAGGGTGAGAACTTTTAACTCAGTCTCCCCCAGCAGTGACCTAGTAGCCCATCCTCTAGCAACCTCTTCAGTGACTCTTCTTCCCCAGTGCCAGGCTTCCTATCACCTTTGAACTTATCACGCTTCTGTTCCCTTTACAGAAGGAGCCACCCCAGCACCTTCCCTGGCTTCCTGATCTTCCTGCACCCACTCCCCACTGCCCTTCCCAGATGCTCTCAGAGTGCCTTCTCTGTGCCTTCTCGAGTCTGGGAGTAATTTGTCTTGCAGTCTTACCTACCAGATGGGAAAATATCTGACTCAGAAGTATCCACAAACCCTGCTAAGCGAATATAGCCTCACCTCTCAGTCTCGGCAGCCCCCCAGCCTCAAGCAGAGAACTTGATGAATGGTGGGCATTTGCAGTGGTAGGTGTTCAATAAACCTTTGCTGAATGATACTGGGCTATTCCTGGGGCTTCTGGGTTATCTGGGGCATATGACTTTTCTCTTTAATATACTGTACATATATTATGCTTTGGTGTTTCATTCTTAAGGAATGGAAAAGAATCAAGTGGTCTCAGCCCTGAGAAATGCTGGCCTGGGACCCACCCAGCATCCTGAGGGTATGCCTGGCTACTTTCTAACCCCAGCTTTCCCCCCATCAGGAAAGCAGTAAGAAGGCAGGTAGAGAGGGTGACCTTGAAGCCCAAAGGCTGGGCTATAGCTGAGGTGTATTTTCTTGGCATTTACAGATTTAATTAAGCTCCTCTTGGGTGCAATAGGTCTCAGGGAGGGTAGGGAGCAGGATGCTGACATTTATGAAGTACCTACTTCTTCCTGCCCCAGGCAGTTAATCTGTTGTTTCCCATTGTTCCGGCTATTCCTAGTTATAGAATAGAAACCTGAGGCCCAGAAGTGTTAGGGACACTTGCCTAGCTATCAGAGGATTACTTGGATGAGGGGAAAGTGTGAAAGAGCCCTGTGACAGGGTTCTGATTTTGTGACCTTGGGCAACCTGCTAGTTGAGTATCAAGTAGTTCATCTGTAAAATGGGGATACAGGTGCACAACTTCAAGGATGTATTGTGTAGGTTAAGTAAGAGCTCATGGTAAGCTCTTGCTGGTTTTGACTATTACCCTTGATCCTACTGCTAGTTTGAAGGTTAAGGTCAGAGCAGTGCAGGTCAATTTTAGAGAGTGGGTCATTTCGACCCAAAGTTCCTGAGCTCTCTCCTTCTTTCCTCCTTTAGTCTGGGCCACACAGTTACCTAGATCCCAGGTTCAAATTCAAAGCAAACAGCATTTCCAAAAAAAGCTGGGCCAGAAGAACTGGGTTTGAGTTTAGATGACCGGGGCAACCTGTGTGACCACAGGCAGGTAGTTTAATCTCCCTAAGGCTTTGTTTTCTCATGGAAAATCTAGAGATGCCTTTCAGGCTTTCGTGAATGTTATCAGGCTTTCTTGAGTATTAAATGAGATCCTAGCTGTGAAGTTCTATGAAGGCCTAAAAGCTCTAGGGCAACTAGAGGAGTGATTATAAAATCAGCAAAGGAATGGAACCAAGTCTTCCCAAGAGGCAGTGTCTCCCCCCTCCCTCCACATGATGTTGTTTCTTCTGTTCCCAGGTGGCTGAAAGTTAGGGGAGGACCCTGAGGACAGGGATACTTTTTCTTCATCTTTGAATTCTCAATGCCCAGGTCAGGTCCTCCTGGTAGAGGGGGTTTAGTAATAATTAGTGAATGAATGAGAGGCTTGGGTTACCATGGAAAAATCCCTAAGAGAAGTATTTTATACTAACATGTCAATGACTGCTTTTTCTTCCCTCTCCCATTGTGGGAGAGAGTGTGGGATACCAGGAACCTGAAAGGTAAGTAGAAGACTGAAAAACAACAATCAGAAACCCAAAAGGGGTGTCTGGGCAGGTCAAAGGATCCTAACCTGGACTCTGGGTTCCCATCTTACACCTCC